GGAAACATAGGCATCTAAAGAGGTCAGTTATTTTAATTTCATTCCAAATTATAAAGAGGAAGACTGAATAAATCAGTCTTTGTAAATGAAACTGCATTCATTTATTTCTTTTAACACTTTATAACACTTAAAATGTTAAATCACATTTTTCCTTGAATAGGAAAGGCAGTTGTGAAAATAATCGTGATTTCTAATCTGAATTACCGTTTTGGTCTGAATATGCTTACCCCAAAATGAATGCATGTGTCATTCTGTGCTTTCTGACCTTAATCTTTTAATCAGGGAAAGAAATTTTTGGACATGGGATGTAAGAACCACAATATACCAGCTGCGTATTCCATGCATGTTGTCAGCTCTCTCCCTAAACCCATCAAGGCATATGAGCAATTAAATAATTTAGTCAAAGGTAGAAGCTTCTGCTAATACCTGAGATTTAAGTTTATTAAAGCAGCTGCAGTTTTGCATATCGGCTCAGTTTGCTGGCATGCCACGCTTCTTGAATAGCATGAAAAGTAAAGATCTCAGGGGCATTTTCTTTTTCTTCTTCCCATTGTAATAACCCTATCATATTGGTATCTTTCTTCTGATTGTCAATAACCCTTCCAAAAGGCTCGCAGATGTTTTAATGATGGGAATTAGACTGTTTTAAAGAAAAACACAGTCCTATCCCATGCTGTCCACAGCAGCTTTTGTGTGGCTTTTTCCACATGGGCCAGACTTCTGTGACAGTTTCTAGAAGTGTTCTTCCTGCACCGCCCCACTCTTGCAAAGGCACATTAAGTCTCTCTGTCTTGTGAGTAACTATCAAGACAACCTAATAGTGTTCTCAGCCATTGCTTTAGTTTGCTAATTTATGGCTTCTTACATGTTTTCTTTCCATTTTCACTTTTTTTTTTTAAAATATCAAACTTCATGTGTGACATAATGATTTTGATGTTGTCTGCTTTTATCTATGCATTCCGTAGGTGTTGCTCAACACCTTAGCAGAGCTGGGTGCTGGGCAGATGGAAAACTCTTCTGCTCTGTTGATGGAGTATGTTTTTAGCAGAGCAAAATATGCACTCAGATAAGCAACTCTGAGCTAAGAGGGTCCTGCATTCTTCAATTCTTCATCATATTTTTACAGCTGATGAATTGTCTCTCTGTTTTACGTTAGTCCAATCAAAAGAGTTCTTGTACTCTGTCGTTACTGACACAATTAATTATTGTCATGTTGCAGTCATTATTTTGATGTGGAAACTCAAAAGCCCTTTTACATTAGTGCCTGTGGCTACACAGTTCCTTGCTTTCCAGGAATCAAAAGATGTTGAAACAGAATGAAAGAAATAATAAAATCTTATTTTTATTTTTTTAAGGCCTGATCAAAAAATAGAAGATACGGCAGAAACCAATGCTGAAATTCTTGCTCGTCTCACTTCTGCGGTAAGGTCACTGCATCGAAGTTTGTACTGATCATGTTTGAAATATTGTCATATTTTGTATCCTTTCAAATTAAAGACTTAGTCTTAGTGAGCAGGTGTTTGTAATGCGAACTACTTTTTTGTCTCTGAAAGGAGGAAGCTTTACTGAGGTCGTAGTGTGCAATTCCAAAGCTATTAAAATCAGTCCAAGCAAGGACTGCTGCAGCCTGCTCTCTTGTAATCTTGTATTCATGGCCCAGGAGATACCAGTTTGGAGGATCATGGTAGTTTTTCTGCCAGGTACCTTACACTCAGATCCTCTTGGTCAAGTGGACATCAGCGTGAAGAAAATGATGGGGTGGGGACAAAGGGAGAGAAAGGGCCTCAGCAGCCCTGGCATAGATTATCATAAGCTTCTGAGGAGACCCACCTGGGAAGCCTGGGTATCTGGCTTCCCAACTATGTTTAGCCTCAATAAACTCCATCATAATAAACCATAATAAACAACAGCTTATCCTGTCTGTGCTAGAATTTGGTGCATCTTGTTTATCTTGCTGTAAGATCATTGTTCTAAGAAGCAGACAGACAGGACTAAGCTAGATTCACTCGATCTAATGTAATCTGTACGATGGTACAGGGTACACCCTCAGCACATTTGCAGGAGATGCAAAACTGGGGGGAATGGTCAATACACCAGATGGGTGTGCTGCCCATTCAGAGGGACCTTGACAGGCTGGAGAGATGGGCCAACAGGAATCTCATGAAGTTCAACAAAGGGCAATCAATGTCCTGCATCTGGGAGAAATAACCTCGTGCTCCTGTATAGGCTGGGAGCTGACTGAAAAGCAGCTTTGCAGAAAAGGACCTGGGAATCCTGATGGACAGCAGGTTCAACATGAGCCAAAAGTGTGCCCTTGTGGCAAAGAATGCCAACTGCTTCCTGGGCTGCATTACTAAAAGCGTTACCATCAGGCTAAGTGAGGTGATCATTCCCCTCTACTCAGCACTGGTGTGACACATCTGGAGTGTTGGGTCCAGTTCTGAACTCCCAGTACAAGAGACATGTGGATGTACTGGAGTGTATGCGAATGACCATGAAGATGATCAGGGGAGTAGAGTATCTGACTTACAAGGAGAGGCTGAGAGAACTGGGAGTTGAGCTTGGAAAACAGAAGGCTATGGGAGGATCCTTATGGGTCCCTTCCAACTTGAGATATTCTATGATTCTATGATCTTATCAATGTGCATAAATACCTGATGGAAGGGAATAAAGAAGATGAAGCCAGGCTCTTCTCGGTGACATCTTGTGACAGGACAAGAAGCAGTGGCACAAACTGAAATTCAAGAAATTCTACTTAAACATAAGAAAAAACTTATTTACTGTGAGGGTGATCAAACAGTATAACAGGTTACCCATAGAGGTAGTGGAGTCGCTATCCTTGGAGGTGTTCAGAACTCAACTGGACATGGTCCTGAGCAACCTGCTCTAGCTGACCCTGCTTTTGAGCAGGGACTTGGGTGAGGTGACTTCCAGAGGTGCCTTCCTACATCAACCATTCTGTGATTGTATGGTTCTGCAAACATCACACCTAAACCATGGTATCAGCAAAACATGGAATTAGTGCTAGTTCTGTTTTGGGTATGTGAGAAAGTACAGAGATGAAAGTGAACTAAACAGGGTGAAGTTGTCATGAAAAAGGCATGAGGATAAGAGCTATTTTAAGTAAAATGAATAAAGTACTATCTTGAAATTGCTGAAAAATGAAAGGAAGGACAATTTGTGCTGTATTTTGTAAAGACAAATGCCTTTACAAAAGACATTTTGTAATGTGTTTGGAAAGCCAGTGGTTCTGTATGCTCAACCTTATGCAAAAATAATTTAGAATGTATGACGTTAGAAAATTTTGTGTTTTAAAATTGTTTATTTTTTATTTTCTCTATATTCAAATTCCTTGTTTCCTCTACCTTTTTTTCCTGACTGAAAATGAAAGAACTCAGAACCTCGATATCCTCCATTTTTAGTTCCATAGAGAGAAAAAATAGAAAAACATAAAATACTTTTTGCAAAGTTATATCTTTTAAAAAACTCACAAAATTACCAACTCTATAAAGCATTGCCAGTATCCCTCAAAAGCTTCGCCTCTCAAAAATAGAAGAATAATGGGTTTTTCATCAGTTAAAAAAAGGGAAGCACTCAACGAAACAAAGTGACTTTCTGAGTTTAAGAACTGGGATCTAACTGTTGCTGGATACACTTGAGTAAAATGCATATCCTTAAAGATGTGAGTAATTGACAGTGAGTTCAGGGTGCTTCACATCTGGCTTGCAAGGTCAAACCTTTGAACTACATCCTGAGTGATTCCAGCAGCAGGGCACATGGACAGTTTTTTGTTTTTTTTTTTTTTTAAATGAACTCCTCTATTGCTGTAGCTAACTAGCTAAAGAAAAAGGCAGCTGCATGTCCAGATGGCCTGAGACCCATCTATTGCCATGGTGGTGTCAAAAAGACTGATCTTTTCTTCTGCATTTTCTGATTTTCCATAGAACTGTGCAGGCTCTCTATAATGATTTTCTAGTCTAACCCTCGGGAAAAGACGTAAGACCAGAGCAGAATCCTCCAAATATTAACATCTGTATATGAACTTCTCCCTCTTGGGAATCCAGAATATTGCTTTTCCTCCATACAGTAGACTGGGATCTAAAGTACTCACTGCGAGCTTATGGAGGGCCTTCATGTGTCCCAAGGGAATTTGAACCCTCAGCTTGCACCACTCAGCAGAGGGCTGGACTCACCAGGATACAGGTTCTCAATGTTTTTCTTGCTGCCAGCTTCAGAATTTGTATGGAAAAAGAGTCCTGTGAGCTGGAGCTGGAAACCAAAAGTGAAGGTATTAGCCATGAACTAGAAATGTGTTCATACTGCCTTGCTTTTTGGCTCACTGAATGTTTACATATTTTATACAGAATCAAACCAGTCTTCCTTGAAGAGTTCGTAATTCAGAATCCTGTTGACAATACTCTTCAGACCAGTGTTTCAGAAGTGAAACCCCCCAAAAAACACCTTACTTCCAGCCCAGCACTAAAGCAGTCAGAGATTAGAGTTGACTTTTTTGTACATTTCTGGGTTTGGAGGTTCAAATCCCATTGGTGTTGATAGTACCACTGTCTCTTCTGCTTTTCTTTTTGCTTTTCTTGTAATGGAATAAAACATTCTATGTCAGGTCAGAAGGATGCTTCTGTGTCAGCTTTTCTTTTTTTGGGAATTAAATTCCCAAATTTTCAAACCTAAACTGATTGTGAAGATCCAGCCCAAGCAACATTGTAGAACTGTAAGCATGCATGCACATAAGGTCTAATTATATATTTCTGTAACTCTGTAAAAGCTATTGCTGTTGCAGGGGGTGAAACTCACCTCACCTAAATATAAGTGGCCATATGGCAGGCATCTACATCTGAGCAAGCTTCCCCAGGCACTCCTTACAGCCAGGGAGCAGAAATAGGCACTTTTAGGATGCTGAGTGTATGATTCATTTTGAAAGTCTACTTTAGGGAAAAACAGTCATACCTCAGGCTCTGCTGGTAAGGTATGCACTCTCTATGAAGGGGTTATAGAGTGACTAGCACAGACATAGGCATCTGTACAAGTTTGCTGAATTCCTCTCTCCACCTCTTTTTACTGTAGCCTGACTTTCTTTGTTGGCCTTTCTCTTATTACTTATTCCCTACTGCTTTTTGTTACCAGGTGTTGTTTCTCTTGTAGAGTTCCACTTTTCACATTCACTGCACAATTTGTGATTTTTTTTTTTTTTTTTTTTGATGATTCAGCCAGTCTAGAACTGATTAGTTAGGGAAATGCACTCTTGGTTTTAAACAATGGTTGTGGAGATTGTAGAAGATAATAGCGATAGCTGCAGTGAGTGATGCCAAGTCAGAAGGACAGCAGGGAAAAACTGCAGAGGTTTCTTTATCATCTTAATTTGTGCATAATGTATGGAACAAACCTCTTTTAAGAGCAGAGTCAAGATACAAAAGATAAGAAACTAACTTGTTGGGGGTCTCACTTTTTCTTTACTCTTTATTCTATGATGGAAGAAGCAGAGTCAGTCAAGATAACTGAATGGAACCTATCAAATTATATGCTCACATCATATGGTCCATTACAATGAGGCACTGACAACACCATCAAACTTAAATTGTAAAGGCAGCTGACATGCAAGCAGTGCAAAGTGCCATTTGAAATACGTTTGCATTGGATAATCTTTTTGGTCATTAATTTTTAAGAAAATGCAATGATTACTCCTGGGTTTAAAGAAGCATTCCAGAGCTGTCATGCATCCCATGTCATGTCCCAAAGAGCAGCTTCATATTCAATGTCTTGTCTGCTAAAACCCGAGCACAGTGGGTTGGCTATGAGTGTTTCCACTGCAAAGCTCTTACCTTACCTTGTGATGGGACAGAAAAGAATATCAGGATGTTAATGCGGTGTATCTGGGAAATACAGTTTTCTGGTACTTTAAGATGTCAGCCAATACTACTTATATTTAGAGTCCATCAAACTATCATTACTTGAGATGCAAAAATGTGAACTAGACTCTCTTATTTTTCAAAACCCTGCTGTTTAGAGCTTTCGGTTGGAGGATTTCATTTTGAGATTCTGTAAGGATTGCCTCTAGATCTGAAGTTCTATTTGGCACATTGACATCTAGAATACTGTTTCACAAAAGACTACTATAGGCAGAAAAAAAGAGAGGGGAGAAAAGTAAAGGTGGTATGCACTGTCTACTGGATGCACAGCTATGCCTTCTATGATAAAATGACCAGATACATGGATAAGAGAACAACAGTAGTTGTCATTTACTTTTGAAAAATCTCTACCTCTGTCCTTTGAAGATGAGAAGATTCACCATATAAATATGCCATTTGTATTTAATCAAGCAGAAGTATATGTGGGTACTGCTTTCTATGCACACTCTTGCTCTTTCATATTGCATAAAGAAAACTGATTAAGATGTGGTAAACATGCCAAAAACACACTCAAAATGTTCTCTTTCAGTCTTCCATAATATTTCTGTAAATACTGTGTGGTAAGCTGGCCTTTAAACTGAATCAGTTTTGACATCTGCGACACTACTTGAAATGGGATACTATTTAGATAGTGTTAGCTTTGTAGTGACAAGCTATATGTATAAACCAATTTTTTGTATTTAATATCTCAATTTATTTTGGTAGGCATAGCTCTTGTTTGAATGTGTATTTTACTTTGAGTCCACATTATTATCTTCAATGTGATGTGCAACTATCGATTTTGTCAAACAGGCAGTAACTGTAATCCTATTAGGAAGAAGTATGATAACGTGTAGCATGTGTGCAGTGAGGAATGAATGTTGTACACGGGTTTCCATCAGTGTAATGATGCATAGGAATTGTATGTCCAGCAAAGGTGCCAAGTGCATTTACGCTAAAATAGACAAAAGCATATAGATTATGAAATCCAGGGACACCAGGCAAATCCAGAAGGATGCTCAGCAGTACCAATTCTTTGTGATTTGAGTGAGTCCTATGAGAGGGAGCTCAGACCGTCAGGATGAAACCCTTTGATGAAGGAACATTTGCTTAATATTAAGACTAGAGGAACATTTTTTTCTCCTACTTTAACTGAAGGGTTTTGCTCAGATTAAGTAATATGCCAGCTGCATTCCTGGCACACAGCAAACAATGAGATATTTTGCATAACATAGACAAAATACAGAAAAACAGCCTTTTTATTGCCTGTGATGTTAGCACTGTCTTTCAAACTTGAAAAGTGCCACCTTATAAGCAAAAGTAATAACTGCAAATATAACCGCAGGATGCCACAATGCTGCTTTTTCTTCTGAGAAGATGGGTTTTTCTTTACGCTCATGGAGAGATTTGTATTTTTCAATAGTTTGATTGGGTTAATTGGTATGTTTACAACTGTTGCAGATTGTAGGGTCTCCTAAGGCTAATCTTGAGATAATGTATTTACTAAATGCTAAAAGGTAAAGATGAGACCTCAGTGCACTGTTTCTTACTGTCCGTAACCTGTGAGAATAGACCAGGATCGGGACATTGACATTGGTACCTCCTGCTGAGTTTAATGAAGGGAGAGAGTCCGAGCAGTTTAGCCATGAAAAGTCGTGGTGGTGTTATTCAGAAACAACTTGGGCTTTTATTGAAAATCCCACTCTAACTCTGGATAGCTTGTATGTATTATTACTAGTGTATATTAATTGCTGCAAGCAAGCAAGCAAGCACCCAAGTTGTTTTTCCACAGAAGAACTGTTCTTTCCCATCTTACTTGCAGTTTATGCTTACATTAACCATGATTAACAGTTCTCCAGACATGGGAATGAGTACACAGGAAGGAAGGAAGGGAAGGTAATACTGCCAGCTTGCACAATTGTGCTGGAAACAGGACGACATTTAAGAAAACCGTGGCACTGCCTTCATATTTTCCTACTTGGAGCGGCAGAAAACTCTGTCCCTCTCAGTGGGGCAGCATCAAGGAGTGGGAAAGATCCTTGTACCTTGCAAGGACAGCAAAAAAAGCTCCCTGGTCCTTTGCCACAAGGGAAGTAAGGATGCAAGCAGAGGAAGGATGTGGCCTCTGGTATGACTGCCTTCTGCCACATGTAGAGCGTACAGCTGGGTGGCTGCTGAGTGTCTGATCAGTGGATGCTGGAGTTACCATTGTACTGAGATGTCCTGGGTGATTTTCTTTCTGCTCAGACCAATATAACATTAACTATTCTCGTTTCGCATTTTCAAACTTTTCTTCAGAGTCATGAGAGTGGGATGTTGACAGTTGTTAGTAATTGTATTACTTCGGGGATCCTTTGTGGGCTTTGTGCCTTATTCTGATGATACCACGTCTTGTGAATGATGTTTTAAATTTCACATGCTCTCAGAAACTGGATGTCAAAACTCCCACTGCAGAATAGCCTTGAGCTTTGCATAGGTCTGTTAGACAAGATGGCTAGTGTGCAGCGCAGGAGACTTGGTACAGAGAGGTAAGACAATCCCTAGAAAAATAGTTGGAATGTTCCCTAATTTTTTTTTAATACTAAAGACAGGCTGTCTTGGGAAAATGAGGGAAGTTGGAAGAAGCTGGGAGGTGTACAGAAGAGTCTGAGAGCATGGATGGGGCAGAGGAAGGGAAGAGCTGAGGTGTATGCAGGAGAGAGTGCCTGGGGTGCTGTAGGCCAAGTGCAGGGCACTTGAAGCAGCTGCAGTGGGACAGATGGTGGCAGCGAGGAAGTATGAAACGTAAAAATAATGCACAATACAGAATCTTACTGACAGAAAAAGGAACAGACGTATGGAGAGAAGTGGATGTAGAGTTGAGCTGGCTCAACAGTCTAGCTGGTCATGTAGAGATTATAGGGAAAATATGAAGAATGCAGAGACAAGAGGCTGAGGAAGGGAGCTGGCTAGCATGGCAGGGCTGTTTCATCACAGGCTAGTAAGATAGCCTGTGAATCTGGAAATCAGATAGCTCTTACTTCTGCATGTTCATCTCAAGCTAAATTTTGGTCCTGAAATGCTCAGCCATGCTATTAGGAGCGGTTGTCTCCTCCTGAAAGCTCCAAAAAGCGAATGTCAATTATATACGTGAACCTCAGCCAAACCTCAGCATGGAGAACTCGCTTATCCTGGAGTCACACAATAAATCCAGCATTACAGTGTGCTCAGCAGAGGCAAAACAAACATTTAACAAGGAAAGGAAGAAGCTTCAAGTGTGTGCTTGTGAGAGAGATATGCTTGTGCAAATAAATTACCTGTTGGGCTACTGAATTGCCCACTCCCTAAGGAATGTGCAGTATTTACATGAAATTAAAGTTTAAAAAAAAAAAAAGTTGTCACAGAATTCCCAGCTGAAAAGGAAATAGATTTGCTAGGAAAAGTGACTGTAGTTTCAAAACCAAGTACTTGCATAATTCCACGTGCGGTTGACTGCTCCAAAGGATTGATAGCTGGTATCTTACCAGTGTTGCATTTTGTTTTGTTTGACTGTGCTAGTAACTATAACCATCTTTTCCTTTCCTGGTATTTTAGGTTCAGAGAGAACTGGCTGCTGTCATTGCCTTGAAAGCAAGGAAGTCAGGTGAGTCAGGCTGGACTTTAGAGGGGGTTTGTAACGCTGTTCCCTTTTGTCATTTATTGAAGTATTTGAATTGTCATTGCTGTCTCATTAACATGGGGAAGCAAAGATAGCAGACCTTGTTCTTCTCTCGTTGGAGAATCTGTGTATATTGCACAATGCAATTACTGTCAAGCTTTGCTTCCCCTAGCTCGTCACATCTAATGACCTAGCTGATAAAATCAGAATGTTACAGTTGAATGTGAACTTGGGTCTCTTTCTGGCCAAAATCACTATTTTCTCTGGGCTTGCACTTTATAAAAGAAGCTTATGTCTTTATTTGACTTACATTTAAGACAAATAAGTTGATAATTTTCCTATGTTTTCTTTTACGGCCCAGTGTCTCACGCCATCTTCGCTGTGTTTTACCTGCCCAGTCAGGTGTATTTCTTTATGCTAAAGCAAAAGGACAACTTCATGCATGAAGGCATTCTTTCCTGAAGACTTGTCTATACATCTGCATGGTTGCAGAGGCAAGTCTCTGTTATCAGGGCAGTAGAAGGGGAAAGGCAAATGGGTAATTGAAAGCCTCTGACAGTATAAGCATTTACAGCAAATGCTGGTGATACAGTGCAAAGGCACTGAAATATGTGGTCGTCTCAGCTCCGTCAGGGTTTGGTAGCACAGCCACTTTCAGAAGGTATCTGCATTGCTGAGCTGGAGTGGAAGCAAGGGAGCTGTGTTTTCCGGGCACTGCACGGGAATTGACAAAACCTACTTGGCCAGACCTGACTCTATACATGGTTAACTCTCTGGTGTCTTCATCTATAGTGCAGTTAATCTGCAGCAAGGGCAAACTGCATATGGTGAAGTGAGAGTTGAATGTGTTTCTAGAGTAAAACAGAGGTGGAATTGCCTTAAATTATTGGCGTGTTCCCAAAGCCACTGAGGTCTTTGGAAGCATTTTCACTGAGCATCTCTTGTGATCTTCAGTGGTTGTGCTAGAAATTGAGATCACGGATCTTGCACTTTTTTAGCTATTTTCTGACCTGTTAATAATACTGTGTCATAATATCTGTATCTGTCTATCTGCGGCTTACAAGTACAGCACAAAAGTTACTAAACATAACACATGCACTACATACAACATGACATCTTAAACTGGAGGCACCAAGAAGATGTGGCTGGCATATCTGCAAATATTTCCTTGTGAAAATGTAAGTATTACAAAAATATTCTACACACAGTTTGCTGCATTTTTGTCGTTTAATAGGAGTACCCATAGGTTGACCAACAGTCATCTGTAAATGTAAATCTGCAGAAAGTAAACACAAATCTAAGTGTGAATTCAGACCTAAATTGCTTCTGTGTAATAGCTTTGCTTCTGAAACTGCTGTAGTAGTTTACGATGTTAAGACCCCTCAGCTGCTTACCCTTACCTGGTATCACCCCAGTCCCACCTGAATTATAATGGCTGAACATGGAAATGCTTCTGCTCTGTTTCAGTGCAGAGAAAAACAGGCTATTTTAAGGAAGGGCTCAAGGTAACATTTTGTTTCGCTGTAAGGGCTAAGAGTATGGTGCCGTGTACCTTTTTACAC